TGAGACGAGAGAAGACGGAAAGACAAGGAGAGAGAGGAGAGAGAAAAAGAGCGTTCGTCAAGACTCACAGTAAGTTGGCCAATGCTCAGGCAGCCTGGGTAGTAATCACCACCTCCCCGCGCCGAATGTGTGTGTCATCATGACAGCACAGCAGCACATAGACAGCATAAATACCAGTATCATGTGCACACACAGCAGCGCGCGCGAAATTAACGGAGAGTCCCGCCCTCAAATATTACACCTGATTTACTGTCGGACTCCCTGTGATTTGACATATGAACAGAACGTCGTTGGAGACTCCCTGGAAATCCTGCCATACTAACTAGTTCGTTCCAGAGCCGGCTTCGCGGAATTACCGATTTTTCAGCAAACGTCGCAACAGAAAATTTGGCAGACGTGCAAGCGCATGAATCTTCAAAATAAGCACATGCGTTCATTTGTTAATATCTTTAATTTTGAACTTCAGGAGCGCGTTACTCACTCTGTTTGCCAGCGGTAGGCGAGTCCTGTTGAACTCCCTTGTTCAAAAGCTTAATTTCGACCCCTGGCAACACACATACGCCTCCACTGAAGGCCATCCTGCACGGTGCTGCCGCCGCGTGGCTACTCGAGAAACGTTCAGCGCGATACTTACATCTGAGCTTTAGCCATTTCCAGCTCCTTGCCACAGTGCTGCCACCGCGCTGGCCTGACCGACGAAACGTTCCACGCCGATCATACATTCTAGCTTTTAGCTTTCTCCAGCTCCCTGCACGGTAGTCGTCGCCGACGCGTGGGCTTACTCCCGATGCGGCAAACGTTCACTTTGCCCTGATACTTACATCTAGCTTTAGCTTGCTCCAGCTCCTGCACGTGCTGCCACCGCCCGTGGCTAACCGCACTGGAAACGCTGCACGCCCTGGGATACTTACATCTAGCCTTTAGCTTCTCCAGCTCCTGCACCGTGCTGGCCCACCCGCGTGGCTAACCGACGGGGAAACGTCCACGCCCTGATACTTACATGCTAACTTAGCTTGCTCCCAACTCTTGCCACGGTGCTGCCACCGCCGTGGCCTACCCGACGGAAACGTTCACCCGCGTTGAACTTAGCATCTACACTTTAGCTTTTCCAGCCCTGCACGGTGCTGCCACCGCGTTGGCACCCGAGTGGAAACGTTCTACGCCGATACTTACAGCTAGTTTTAGCCTTCTCCAGCTCGCTGCCACGGTGAGCCTGTGTTTGCCTCCATGCAGCCTCTCCAGTTCTTGCCCAGACGATCTCCGCCAGCTGCCCGCTGCTCCTCCAGCCGGGCATGCTGCAGCTCGTGCCACCTGGCAGAACACAACCTGGTGTCAGCAGATGGCAACGCGCGACGGCCAAACTAGCGTTTTCACTGTCAACAGCTTGATTCGCGTCACATCCTTATAAGTACTTAATTACTTATCTTTTTATTTATTATTTTTTATTACTTAAGTTAGTTAAATTACTTTAAGTTACTTAAATCTATTCTCCTTCGCTAGAATTTAATAGTCGGAGACGAGGAAAAGAGGCGGTGTTGGGGAGGCCGTTTGAATGTCAACTACGTGCATGTCACTCGTGACTTACAAGCCGGACACACACACACACACACACACACTCCTACTGTTTCATACACCTCTACATTATCATTGTTCCGCCAGAATTTACGACACTCAAGCTTTTCAGCATTCCTATTTGAGTTAACCTAGTCGTATATATATTCCAGCATGATCCGTTATGGCTCTCAGTTATTTGGCCGGCGCCCGAATTGATGTATTGTACGTCGATGGTAGCGACAAGATAATTTGAGATAACAGAGGATAAAATAATTTCTTTGGCTAAAAGCATCTGAAAGGCAGCAAGCTATAGGTCTAGAAGACGTTGCTTTCTCCTCATGTTACCCTCCAGCCCCACCCACCATCTCCCCTTATAATCCCCTTCTACGTACTAGGATGAAGCTAATTGGGCTGCCACCCTCAGAAATCAAGCGTGTTTACAGAGATAACGCTAATCCAGGCGTACCGCCCCCTGACGCGAATTATTACCCCACCGAATCCACAACCTGCTAGCCGATTACAGCGCATACTGCCCGAGCACGGCTACCGGTTCGGCTTCACAGGACTACAACAAAAACTAACTGCCCCTAACTAAACGCAGTAGCGATCGAGGGGCGTCTAGGCAGTGTGCGAAGACACCACACGGTACACGCGCGACCGATGCTGCACGGGATACTGCAAGCGGATGTGCCGCGGATTGTGCACGCGTATGACGGCGCGTGGATGCCGCCGCGGACGGATCTCTGGGCGGATGCTGCGCACGGGATGCGGCCGCGGATGGCCTGCACAGAGGCTGCGCGGATACGTGCGGATGCGCGCCGCGGACTCGCTGCCGCGCGGGTGGATGCTGCACGGATGCTGCACGAATGCGGCGTGGAGCGCGCCGGATACTGCACGGATGCTGCCACGGATGCTGCGCGAATGGCGCAGTGAGCATTGGGATGCTAATCGCACGACTGGCAGCGGGTGACGAAGGGCGATGGCAGAGTCGCTAACACAGACTATGGACACCGCATCATCGCGCACACAACGCTCGACTTTCTGATTCTAGACGAAAAAGAAAACACCGTGCCAATGCGGGGCGCGCATAAAATGAAAAGTATAATGCGGCGACAACAACTGCCATCAGACAAAGTTGTTTGCGCGCGAGAGAGCGTGGGAGCGCCGAGATGAATGACAGAAGGCCTGTTGTTGCTAGACAATCGAAATCAGATGGCAAGCCACATACTGGACCGATGAGAGCTGACAGTGTGGGTCATGAGGAGAGATCGAGAGAGAGTGAATGAGCACCTTACGCTCATGTCCCTGTATCAGTAATGGTCCGCGCGGGTGTTTTGCCATCCCCATGCGCAACAGAACACAATCTGTTGAATATCACATCTCGCGCTGACTGGCCGCCCCCCCGGCCAACCATCCGACTGCTCCGCTCCGTCCGACAACCGTCCGTACTCCGACGATCGAACGTCCGTCCGTCAGACCGACGTCCGAACAGGCTGCCATAACAACCAAACGCCATAGTGTTTTTTTTCAAATTGTTGACCACGTGAACACATACTAAGCGCAATATTTTTCCGTGTCGCACGAGCAAATGAGATATCGCCTAGGCGCGCCAGGGTCTCATGAAGACAACAGCGTATTGCAAGACTTGCCACCAGCGAGAGCTCCCTCAGAGTACCAAATAACTAGATTGTCAATTGACAAGTAGCAGGGAAAACCCCACCACGACGGGGATATTAGTTTAAATGATTTGCCTGACATTAAATCTACGCGACCCTGGGTGCCCCATTTTTAAAAGCAGAGATTTAGTAATTAACGTTAGTCATATACATGAAGTTTTTCTCCATAGACCGTTCACACTGGAAGACATTGTAAGATGGTTACGAAAATGAAAACATCCTAGCAAATCGTACCGTTTTCACCTCAATCAATATTCTCTCATAAGGTCTAATTCAAGACCAACTGTTAAGATTAATGCTTGTTTCTGACATACCCGGCCCGCGGGTACTACTAGCAACGAACTAGCCAGGAACGCAGATTCTCACGTCCCACGCTACGAAGCACGACAGCCAGCATAGATTACACTGAAGTTCACACCCTCCCATGTCGAGATGTTACTCTGAGGCGAGAATGCTGGCGAGCCGAAGGCAAGAACAAATGCCGATCAGCAAATAATGCGACCCGCGTGAATCGCCACGCCGTAAAAAAAACAACTCACGACACGCGAACGACGAGCAAATTCCGGCTGTCTCCCGAGGGAGGGGCGTGCAAGCTCATCGCAGCATTAATCCGGCGCGCAGTTAGCAACATGCTGAATGTGAGAGCAAACAGAGCAAGCTGCCACGAATAAAGAGGGGTTAGGCACATTGCCCTACGCAGGTCCACTGTTAGTGAGCGCTGAGACGTGCGCCCCTACATCACCTGCCTCCCCCCCGCCGCCACACCCCGCCCACGGATCCCCCCCCGGTCGCCACCACCCCCCTGCCCGCCACCACCATGTCATTATATATTTGTCCCCTGCCTACATCGTTATGATATATATATCCCTCCTCGATACAAAATTGCTGTATTACTCCCTCCTACAGAGTCGTTATATTATCTCCGCCCTCCTACAAGTCCTGTATATATCTCCTCCTCCTACATGTGCTAATATATCTCCGCCCCATCCTACTAATGTCCTTATATATCTCCCCCCTCCTACAAGGTCCTTATATATCCCCCCCTCCTACAAGTCCTTTATATATCTCCCCCTCCTACATGTCTTTATATATCTCCCCCCTCCTACAAGTCCTTATATATCTCCCCCACTCCTGCCAAGTCTTTTATATATCATCCCCACCTCCTACAAGGTTCCTGTATATATCTCCCCCTCCTACATGTCTTTATATATCTCCCCCTCCCCCTCCTACATGTCTTTATATATCTCCCTCTCCCCCACGATACCTTCCCCCTCCTACAGTCTTTTATAATCTCCCACCTCTACAAGTCCTTATAGATCTTCCCCTCTACAACCGTGTCGTTTATATATTCTCCCCTCCCCCTCCTACATGTCTTTATATATCTCCCCCTCCCCCTCCTATCATGTCTTTATATAGTCTCCCCTCCCCCTCCACATGTCCTTTTATATCTCCCTCTCCCCACGATAACCTTCCCTCATACCATGTCTTTATTATATCTCCCCCTCCCCCACAATACCTTCCCCCTCCTGACATGTCTTTATATATCTGGCCCTCCCACGGATACCTCCTCGCCTCCTCCTAACACAAGTCCGCTACACACCCTCCCTTCAACGAGATCACAGTCGAGCGCGCCGTCTGCGCCTCCGACGACGACCGACCACGTACCCAGTACCCCCCCGCCACCCCCCCCCCCCAGCGTCGCGCGCGGTCGTCCGCCGCGGCAACCCGCCTACGCTTGATCTGCGCGACGGCCGGTGATGACGTGATTGGGCGCGCTCGACGTTGCCGAGCATCTCGTAGTCTTCAGCTTCTGCACGCGCCTCGGCGCAGGGTGCCGGTCGCAGGCTCTCTCCTCACGGCGCGACGAGGTTTTCGTACGCGTTACTCGAGTCACCGATGCGATGGTTGAGATCAGCCTGCTCCGTCTCCAGCTGCGGTCACCTGTCCTTGCAGCTTTGGAACTGTGGGAGGAGAGGTATGGGAGAGGGAGGAGAGATATAGAAGGGAATGTTTAGGCTTCAGTTAGTTTCTTGCCCTGGTTTTTTTTATCTTGCTTTATCTCTCTCTCTCTCTCTCTCTCTCTATCTCGCTCGTCGCTCCCTCTCTCTTTTCTATCTCTCTTCTGCTGCTCATGTATCTCACTCTTATTCTTCGCCAAGCCCTCGCTTTCGTCTGTCTGCTCTGTCTCTCTCTCTTCTCTCTCTCTCTCTCTCTCTCTCTCTTCTCGCTCTCGCTCTCGCTCTCGCCTCTCGATCCGCTCTCTCTCTCGGTGTGTTTGTGTTTGTGTTTGTGCTTGTGTGCATGAGTGTACAGATGCTATTGTGCGTGCCTGCATGCGCGTGACACCGGTCGTCAAGTCAAACTTAAAAGTTAGCCAGGCAGCATACAGAGAATAGAAGCAAAATAGTAGTGGATGTCACACCGCCACTGAATTATAAATCTAACAAAAGCACACGCTTAACTTTGCCCCCCCCCCCCCCGCAGGAGGAGATGGACCTTAAAGTTCTGCAATTCCAAAACAAGAAGCTGGCCCAGCGGCTAGAGCAGCGGCGTCGGATAGAGGAGGATCTGAGAAACAGGATCGAGCAGCTGGAGAAACGGCAGACGACAGACGACGCCGTCATGTGCATCGTCAACAGATACTGGAATCAGGTACGGCCATGCCTGTGCATAGCAGTCAGCATAAGGGAACTGCTAGAAAAGTGTCCTTCTACAGGCAGGTGTCTATTTCATAGAGGGTGTATCATATGCGACTGCTGCTGCAAGGAAAGTGTCAAAAAAGGCGCTTGTTATTCTCGCGGTCGGGAAACGGACGGGACGCGTTTGCGAAATTCACGAAAATTAAACCACCGCGAAATATACAGCGTATACAATATTATCATTGCCTTGATGAGAGTCATTTCTAACATAGCCGTGTTCCTCTCGACATTTCTTCTGTTTGATTCGTGACACGTGTGTGTAATCCTCGTTATCGTTTCAGTTGGACGAGGACATGCGCGTTGTGCTGCAGCGATTCGACTGGGAGGTAGCTGATGAGAGTGAAGACAAAGGTGCGTGTCTCTGTCAGGAAAAAAAAATCTGTCACAAAACTTAAGATGACTATTGCGAGATTTTTGCTCAGAAAAACTAAATATAGCTGAATATATTCTCACCTGACAGCGAAAATATTACTGATTACGCCAACATTAAAAATACTAAGATTTTATGCAGTTATAGCATAGAAAATTGGATATGAACACATCTTAACAGCAATGCATTTTATCGTGTCGCGACAATGCCTAATGGGAGAATTGGTAAACTTGTATTTGTGTCGGTGATTAATTGAAAACAAGTGCATGATTTGAGAGAGCCATGCTTTGTCTATGGCAGATAAGCGGTGGCGCCACAAGCTAATCCACACTTCCGCCTAGTTCAAGATAACAGAAAACGAATGTTTACGAAACTAGTTCGAAACCAGTAGTTCGAAACTGGCAGTTTTTGGTGAATACGAAGGTTCTAAGACATTTTATTGTTACTCTAGACAATTGCTGTTACTCAAGCAATAACGGTAGGTGTCATGAAAGTGTAGAAACCACTGGAAAATTCTCGCAATAATCGCTTTAAAATACGGTTGTTGCTGGCTGTTAGGTGAATTCTCCCATCGAGGGAGCGGTTACGCATTCAGCTCAGGATATATTCACGCACAGACAGATTGCTTGTGAAGCCTAAACACAATTCTGTATCAAGAGCAATTTGACGACAACCCACAGCACTCGACTCACTATAGATAGATAGATAGATAATAGGTTTATTGCAAAACTAGTGTTAACAACGTTACAATTAAAATAAATTTTGCAAACAAGATATCATCAGGCAGTATAAAACTGAAATTGATAATATTTACAATAATATATGTCTCATGGTAAGACATAGATATCACTTAAAATGTAGTTTTTTTTTTTTTTTTTTTTTTTTTATTTTTTTTTTTTTATTTTTTGTTTTTTTTTTTTTATTTTTTTTTTTTTTTTTTTTTTTTTGGTTCGTAAAATTTATAGTCACTAAACTAAAAGCCATCTTAGAATATATTAATTAAATTTAAACAATGACGTGATACTTAGTCAAAAATAGTTACAATTTAAAAATCGAGAAAAAATAAAGATATAGATTCTTACTTGTTGGAAGTGGGGTGATGAAACTGACATTTTCACCGCGCGTGTCGCATTCAGACTAACAGTTAAAGCGTTGTGCGTTCACTGCCACGCTCAAATCGCTGATTACTTATCGTCGTGGTGAACGTTACAACAATTGCTGTATTCAGGCAACGAAACCCACCGCCACCGTCCCGGGCTCCTAAATCGCGTAGGCGTGAAAAACTGATGACCCTTTGAACCTGTTGCGGCAGATAGAGGAGCGAGGAGCTGACTCGCTTCTCGCCGAGTCGCCTGTCGACAGATACGCGGCACGGGCCGCAACGAGCTCGACGCAGAAGGCTGACGCCAGCGCGTGCAGTCTCCAGAGCGGAGCTCGCGCGCCGTCGCATAGGTGATGCAAGTGCTTTCGAGCCCGGCAAGCTGGCAAAATAAAGCGAATACCGAGAAGCTCGTTCAAGGACCGCTGCGGGGGAAGCAGCGAGTGCGTCACGCGAGCCGACATCAAGCCTGCAAGGAAGGTGAGCCGCCTGTTGTCTTGTTTGTTGTTGCCCAGGCGATGAGGGCGTCTGCCGGAGTGTGACGTGTTCGCCCTGGAGGACGTGGCTTGGTGTGGTGCGTTAAAACAGAGTGGGATTCGTCGCGCGAAGTAAAATTTATGGTATGTTTCATAATATAATCTCCGACACGAATATATGTATAACTATATATATACTGGCTACATCTAGTGGCAGGCAGTGTAGCGTAGCATCTTAGCATATATGTATATACTCACGTGGCGTGGAAGTTGCACGGGTTTACTTGTGTTCAGCGTGAACCGGCAGAGACGGTTGTGGAGGAGGGGGAAGGAGAAGAAAGGAATGAATGAGCAGAAGCAGGAGGAAAAGAAGGAGAACGAGGAGGTAGACAAAGAGATGCAAGGCGCAGCTGACTTTTGATGAGTTCGTAGCAGGGAGGAGATGCATCTCGCTGGGCAGAGGAGAGCAAGAAATCTACATATCCGCGTTGTGACAATCCGTTGACGGACGAAAAACACAGGAACATGTCGCATCAATGCGAGTCGCGTCCTAGTCAGCGTAGATGTGGCGAACTGCAATATCTTTGCGATGGCTTAATAGTGGTGTCCATATTATGAACTACATTTCATTCAAATATATTTGCGAAAATGCATTATACATATATGTGGGGAGAGAGCGAGCGAGAGCGAGAGCAGGTGAGAGAGAGAGAGAGAGATAGAGAGAGAGAGGAGAGAGAGAGAGAGAGAGAGAGGAAGAGAGAGAGGAGGCGAGATGCGAAGAGCGAGAAGGCGAGAGCGAGGCGAGAAGAGAGAGAGAGAAGCGAGACGAGAAGAGGAGAGAGAGAGAGAGAAGAGAGCAAGACAGAGAAGCAGCAGATTAGAGAGAGAGGGAGATGAGACGAGAGAAGACGATAATGAGAGGAGAGATAACAGAAGCGAGCAGGAAGGGAGTGGCGCAGAGAGATAAGATGAGACAGTGACGAAGAGAGAGTAGAGAAAGAGAGAGGGAGCGTGAGAGCGAGATAGAGGAGAGAGAGAGAGAGAGTAGAATAAAGCCAAGCACTAAAAAAAACACGCAAGAAACTAACGATGCGCGTAACATTCCCCTTCATATATCTCTCCCTCCTCTTCCCCTACGCTCTCCTCGCCCCACAGTCCAAGAGCTGGCAGGACAAGGTGACGCAGCTTGGAAGGACGGAGAACGCGAAGTTTCAACAAATCGGCATCGGTGACGATCGAGTACGCCGTACGACAACTACGTCGCGCCGCGCGAGAGAAGGCTCGAACCGGCACCGTACGGCCGAGAGCGCTGGGCAGAAGCTGAAGAACTAACGAGATGCATCGGCAACGTCGAGGCGCCCAAGTCACGTCATAACCGGCCGTCGGCGCAGATCAAGGTAGCGGTTGCCGTCGGCGACTACAGCCGAGCGACGGTACGTGGTCGGTCGTCGGTCGAGCGCACGCGCGGCCGAGCTGTGAATCTGTGAGGGAGTGTGTAGCGAGCATTGTAGGAGGAGGGAGAGGTATACGTGGGGGAGCGGGAAGATATAATAAAGTACATGTAGGAGGGGGAAGGTATTGTGAGGTGGAGGAGGGAGATATATAAAGACGATGTAGGAGGGGGAGGGTATCGGTGGGGGAGGGGAGATATATAAAGACAATGTAGAGAGGGGAGGGGGAGATATATAAAGACAATGTAGGAGGGGAGATATATAAGGAGCTTGTAGAGGTGGGAGAATATATAAAGATCTTGGCAGGAGTGGGGGAGATATATAAGGAGCTTGTAGGAGGGGGAGATAATATGAAAAGACCATGTAGGAGGCGGGAAGATATATTAAGACTTGTAGAGGGGGATATATAAGGACTTGTATGGAGGGGGGAGATGATATAAGGATTGTAGGAGGGGGAGATATATAAAGACATGTAGGAGGAGGAGATATATAAGGACTTGTAGGAGGGGAGATATATAACGACTTGTAGGAGGGGGGAGATATACAGCAATTTGTATGAGGAGGGATATATATATATAACATGTAGGAAGGGGAAAATATATAATGACATGGTGGTGGCGGGCGGGGGTGGTGGGCGGCGGGGGTGGTGGCGGACGGGGGGCCGGTGCGTGCGGGTGGTGGGGTCGGGGGAGCAGGTGATGTAGGGGCCACGTCTCACGTCTGCACTACGTGGAGCGCTGCAGTAGGGCATGTGGCCTAACCCCTCTTGTATTCGTGGCAGCTGCTGTTGTTTCGCTCTCACTGATTCGGCTGTTGCTACATCGCTGTATGCTGCGATGAACGCTTGGCCCTGCCCCCTCACGCGGATTGCTGTCGTTCGGCAAATTGTTTTTTTTACGGCGTGCGATTCACAGCAGTCGCATTATTCGCTTGATCGGCATTGTCTTGCTTTCAGGGTCCGCCAGCTTTGCCCTCAGAGTAACATCGTTTCGACATGGAGGGTGTGAACTTCAGTGTAAATTATGCTGCTGTCTCTTCGTAGCCTGGGACGTGAGAAATCTGCGTTACTGCTAGTTGTTGGCTAGTAAAGTATCCCGGGCCGTTGTCAGAAACAGCATTAATGCTTAACATTGGGTTCTTTATCTTAGAACCTTTGAGAGAATTTCATTGAGGTAAAGGTACGATTGCTAAGGATTTTTTCATTTTTCGTACTTTACAATGTTCCGTGTGAACGTCGCTTAGGAGAAAAACTTCATGTTATGAACTAAACGTTAATACTATTCTAGTTTAAAAAAATGGCACCTCGGCGTAGATTAATGTCAGGCAATGCATTTACTAATATCCCTCGTGTGGGTTTCCGGCTGCACATGTCAATTGACAATCTAGTAGTTGTAACTACTGAGGAGCTCTGCTGTGCAAGATCTTAGCAAAGCGCTGTGTCGTTCCATCCTGCGCCCGCGTAGCGGATATCTCATTTGCTCGTGCCGACAACGGCGAAAATGATTCGCTTAGTATGTGTTCACGTGTCACATTTGAAAAAAAACACTATCGTTTGTTGATTATCGGGCAGCGAGCCTGTCAACGGTACGGTGCGGTCTGACGACGGACGGTCGATGGCGTTCGACGAAGCGGTGGTGCGGACGGACGAGGACAGTCGGATGTTGGCCGCGCCAGTCAGGCCGAGATGTGATGATTCAAAATGGTGGTGTTCTGTTGCAAGCAACTGGTGCAAACTAACGCGCGACGGCATTTACTGATCACAGGACATGAGCGTAGGTGTGCATTGCACGTCCTCCTGCTCTCTCGCTCATGACCGCCACTGTCAGGCCGTTCTTCATCAGTTGTGCTGGCATCTGGATTCGATTGCCTATGCAGACACAGCCTTCTGTCATTCATCTCGGCGCCGTACACGCTCATCTCGCCGCGCTACACGACTTTGTCTGATGGCATTGTTGTCGCGCCGCATTACTTCATTTTTATCGCGCCGCCCTTGCCAACGGTGTTTTCTTTTCGTCTAGAATAGAAGAGTCGGCGTTGGTTGTGGGGGGCGATGATCGTGTCATAGGTCTGTGTTAGGGGCGAGCTCTGCTACGCCCTTCGTCAGCCCGCTGCCGAGTCGTGCGATTAGCATCCATGCTCACTGCGATCGGCAGCAGCTATCCAGTGCAGCATCCGTGGCAGTATCCTGCGCTGCAGGCTCCCACGCCGCGAGTTGCGTGAGCATCGCGTTGGCGCATCCGCAGCAGCTATCCGCGCCGCATCCGCACCGTATCCGCGCAGCATCTGTGCAGCATCCGCGCCGCATCCGTGCAGCATCCGCGCAGCATCCGCGCCGCATCCGCGCCGCATCCGTGCAGCATCCGCGCAGCATCCGCGCAGTATCCGTGCAGCATCGGTCCGCGTGTACGTGTGTGTCTTCGCCCTGCCTAGACGCCCCTCGTCGCTCTGCGTTTAGTTAGCAGTTAGTTTTTGTTGGTAGTCTGTGAAGCCGACCGTAGCCGTGCTCGCAGTATGCGCTGTATCGGCAGCAGGTTGTGGATAGTGGGGTAAGTATCGCGTCAGGGGCGGTAAGCCTGGATTACGTTATCTCGTGTAAAACGCTTGATTCCTGGAGGGATGGCAGCCATTACTTCATCCTAGTAGTAGAAGGGGATTAAGGGAGGATGGTGGGTGGGGCTGGGAGGGTATGAGGAGAAGACGTCTCTAGACTACTATTCTGCCTTTATGCTTTTACCAGAAATTATTTATCCTCAGGTATCTCAAATATCTTGTAGATACATCGACGTACAATACATCATTCGGCCAAATAACTGAGAGCATACGGATATGTGGAATATATATACGATAGGTTAACTAATAGAATGCTGAAAACAGCTTGAGTGTCGTAAATTCTGGGGAATGTAATGTAGAGGTAGTATGAACAGTAGGAGTGTGTGTGTGTGTGTGTGTGTGTGTCCGGCTGTAGTCACGATGACATCGTAGTTGACTCGTAAACCCTCCCCAACACCTCTTTTCTCCACGACTATTAAATTCTAAGCCGAAGTAGATTAAGTAATTAAAGTAATTAAAATAATTAAGTAATAAAAAATAATAAATAAAAGATAAGTAATTAAGTAATTAAGGATGTGACGCGAATAAGTGTCTGAAGTGAAAACGCTAGGTTTGCCGTCGAGCGTTGCCATCTGCTGACACCAGGTGTCTCTGCAGGTGCAGGAGCTGCAGCATGAGCTGGAGGAGCAGCGGCAGCTGGCGGAGAATCGTCTGCAAGAACTGGAGAAGCTGCATGAGCAACACAAGGTCACCGTGCAGGAGCTGGAGAAGCTAAAGCTAGATGTAAGTATCGCGCGTGAACGTTTCCTCGGGTAGCCACGCGGTGGCAGCACCGTGCAGGAGCTGGAAAAGCTAAAGTTAGATGTAAGTATCACGCGTGAACGTTTCCTCGGGTAGCCACGCGGGCGGGGGGGAGCAGGTGATGTAGGGGGCCACGTCTCACGCTCACTACGTGGACCTGCAGTAGGGCATGTGCCTAACCCCTCTTTATTCGTGGCAGCTGCTCTGTTCGCTCTCACATTCGCTGTTGCTACTCGCTTATGCTGCGATGACGCTTGGCCCCTCCCCCTCACGCCGGAATTGCTGTCGTTCGCTTGTTTTTTTTACGGCGTGCGGATTCACGCGTCGCATTATTCGCTTGATCGGCATTGTTCTTGCTTCGGTCGCCAGCTTTCCCTCAGAGTAACATCTCGACATGGGAGGGTGTGAACTTCAGTGTAAATTATGCTGCTGTCTCTTCGTAGCCTGGGACGTGAGAAATCTGGCGTTACTGCTAGTTGTTGCTAGTAGTACCCGGGGGCCGTTGTCAGAAACAGCATTAATCTTAACATTGGTCTTAACTTAGACCTTTGAGAGAATTTGATTGAGGTAAAGGTACGATTTGCTAGGATTTTTCATTTTCGTAACTTTACAATGTTCCGTGTGAACGGTCTAGGAGAAAAACTTCATGTTATGACTAACGTTAATACTAATTCTGTTTTTAAAAATGGCACCTCGCGTAGATTTAATGTCAGGCAAATCATTTACTAATATCCCCTCGTGGTGGGTTTTCCCTGCTACTGTCAATTGACAATCTAGTAGTTGGTACTCTGAGGGAGCTCTGCTGGTGGCAGTCTTAGCAAACGCTGTTGTCGTTCATCCCTGGCGCCGCCTAGCGATATCTCATTTGCTCGTGCGACCACGGCGAAAATATTCGCTTAGTATGTGTTCACGTGGTCACATTTGAAAAAAAACACTATGCGTTTGTTGATTATCGCATGCTGTCGGACGGTCGGTCTGACGGACGGACGGTCGATCGGTCGGACGGACGGTTGGTCGGACGGACGGACAGTCGGATGGTTGGCCGGCCGGCCAGTCAGGCGAGATGTGATATTCAAAGATCTGTGTTCTGTTGCAGCAACTGTGCAACTACGCCGGACCATTACTGATACAGGACATGAGCGTAGGTGTCATTCACTCTCTCTCTCTCTCCTCATGACCCACACTGTCAGCCTCTCATCAGTTGTGCTGCCATCTGGATTCGATTCCTAGCAACAACAGCCTTCTGTCATTCATCTCGGCGCTCACACGCTCTCTCGCGCGCACACTTTGTCTGATGCATTGTTGTCCGCCGCATTACTTTCATTTTTATCCCCCCCTTGCCACGGTGTTTTCTTTTCGTCTAGAATAGAAAGTCGGCGTTGTGTGCGATGATCGTGTCATAGTCTGTGTTAGCGACTCTGCCTCGCCCTTCGTCACCCGCTGCCAGTCGTGCGATTAGCATCCCAATGCTCACTGCATTCGCGCAGCATCCGTGCAGCATCCGTGCAGTATCCGCGCCGCCTCCACGCCGCATTCGTGCAGCATCCGTGCAGCATCCGCGCAGCATCCGCGCCGCATCCGCACCGTATCCGCGCAGCATCTGTGCAGCATCCGCGCCGCATCCGTGCAGCATCCGCGCAGCATCCGCGCCGCATCCGCACCGTATCCGCGCAGCATCTGTGCAGCATCCGCGTATCGCGTGCAGGCATCGGCTCCGCGTGTACGTGTGTGTCTTCGCGCCTGCCTAGCACCCGCCTGCGTCGCTCTGGCGGTTTAGTTAGCAGTTAGTTTTTTGTTGGTAGTCTGTGAAGCCGACCGTAGCCGTGCTCCGCCGTATGCGCCTGTGATGAGAGGTTGTGGATAGTGGGGTAAGGTATCGGTCAGGGGCGTTTGTAATGGATTACGTTATCTCGTGTAAAACGTGATTCCTGGAGGGATGGCAGCAATTACATTGCATCCTAGTAGTAGAGGGGATTAAGGGAAGGATGGTGGGATGTGGCTGGGAGGGTATGAGGAGAAGATCGTCTGCTAGACTACTATTCTGCCTTTTATGGCTTTTACAGAAATTATTTATCACCTCAAGTTATCTCATATGCTATTGAATACATCGACGTACTAATACATCAATTCGCCAAATAACATGAGAGCAATAGCGGAGTAATGTGGAATATATAATACGATAGTTTAACTAATAGAATGCTGAAAAAAACAGCTTGAGTGTCGTAAATTCTGGGGACTGTAAGTGTAGAGGTATGTATGAACAGTAGGAGTGTGTGTGTGTGTCTGTGTTGTGTGTACCGGCTGGTATCACGCATGACATCGTAGTTGACCGTCGTACCTCCGCCAGCAACTCTTGTTCTCGAACGAACTATTATATATTCTAAGGCCGAACGTAGATTAAGTAATTAAAGTAATGTAAGAATATTAAGTATATAAAAAATATAATAAAAGATAGTAATTAAGGTAATTAAGGATGTTGACGCGAATAAGTGTGCTGAAAGTTAAAACGCTAGGTTTTGCCAGTCAGCGTTTGCCATCTGCTGACACGCAGGTGTCTCTGCAGGTTAGCAGGAGCTGGGCAGCATGACTGGAGGAGAGCAGCGGGCTAGCTTGGCGGAGAGAATCGTCTGCAAGAACTGGAGATAAGCTGCATGAGCAACACTAAGGTCACCGGTGCAGGAGCTAGATGATAGCTAAGGCTAGATGTAAGTATCGCGCGTGAAGCGTTTCCCTCGGTTAGCCACGCGGTGGCAGCACCGTGCAGGAGCTGGAAAACAGCTAAAAGTTAGTATGTAAGTATCCAGCGCGTGAACGTTCGTGGGGTAGCCACGGCGTGGAGCCGCAGTGGGCAAGAGCTGGAGAGCTAAAGTGTAAGATGTAAGTATCAGGCGTGAACGTTTTTCGCTCGGTTAGCGCCAGCGGTGGCAGCACGTGCAGGAGCTGGAGAAGCTAAGGCTAGATGTAAGTATCAAGGCGTGAAACGTTTCGCTCGGTAGCCATACGCGCGTGGCTAGCAGCGTGCTAAAGGAGCTGAGAAGCTAAAGCTAGATGTAAGTAATGCCTAGGCGCTGGGAAAACGTTTTTCTTTCATCGGTAGCACGCGTGTGCAGGCACTGTGCAGGAGCTGAAAAGCTAAGATGTAAGTATCGGCGCCATGGGAACGTTTCCTCGGTGCACGCGGCGGCAGCACCGGCCAGGAATCCTTCAGTGAAAGGCGTATGTGTGTGGCAGGGGTAGAAATTAACTTTTGAAGCAAGGGAGTTGCAAGGCTGCCTAAACGCCTGCAAAAGAGTGAGTACGCCAGTCTGAGTTCAAAATTTAAAGATATTAACAATATAAACGCATGTGTTATTTTGTTTGAAGATTCATGCAGTTGCACGTCTGCAAAATTTTCTTTGACTCATTTGCTGAAAAAAATACGGTATTTCCGCGAAGGCGTGCTCTGGAACGAACTAAGTTCAGTATGGTCAGTAATTTCGCAGGGAGTCTCAACGGACTCTGCATCAATGTCAAATCAGGGAGTCCGACCAGTAATCAGGGAAATATTTGACGGCGGGACTCTCGTTAATTTCGCGCCCTGCTGTGTGTGCACATGATACTAGGTATTATGCTGCTATGTGCCTGTGCTGTCATGAGACACACACACGGCGGGGAGGTGGTGAAACAACCCAGGCTGCCCTGAGCATTGGCCAACTACTGTACTCTGACGAACGCTCTTTCTCTCTCTCTCTGCTCTCTCTCCTCCTCTCATCTTATGCTCTTCTTCCTCCGCTCACTCTCCTTTTTCTTCGTCTTCTCTCTGCTCTCTCTCTCTCTCTGCGTCTCTTATCTCTCTCTCTCTCTCTCTCTCTCTCTCTCTCTCTCTCGTCTCTCTCTCTCTTGCTCTCCTCTCTCTCTCTCTCCGCTCTCATCTCTCTCTCTTTGCTCGTCTCTCTCTCGCTCCTCATCCTCCTCTCCTCTCGTCTCTCTCTCTCTTCTCTCTTTCCTCCTTTTGTCTCTGTTCTC